TCCTGTGGGTCTGGCTGGTCCCACTCCTGTGGGTCTGGCTGGCCCCACTCCTGTGGGTCTGGCTGTGGCTGGGTAAGCCCAGATCCCTCTGTGGTTCCTGGACCAAAGAGCTGCTTCCCGATGGGAGCTGCATCCCACGTGCACTGGAGTTACCCTGAATCTGTGTCCTTCCAGAGTGACTACGGGAACTCTTTGGGARCAGAGCTTTTGCTCCGATCCCCGAGTTAATTATTAGGGGGATTTTCGCATTTAATTTAAAAATTAGTTGAAATTAAATTGAAATATAGTGTGTGTGTGCATGTGTCTTCTAATTGCTTTGAAGAACCCCCCAAGAAGCTCCTTAAAGTCTAAAGGCTAAAAGCTGGAGGGTTGTAATAAATTTAACATGAGCTTAACATTTCCACAGGGACTGGAAAATATCTACTCGTACGGATATTTGCTTGAGCTAAGCAGTGCAATTTGCTCCTCTGCGTTGGTGACAGCCCCTCTGGAGGGCAGGTCACTGCTCAGATTTGGGAGACCCTTTTCTGAATTCCCTTTCTGTGGCCCAGACAAAGCAACCTCTGCTCCCCAGGGGTGAGGAAGCACCAACGCCCTTCAGATGTGTTTGCACCCAACAACAGCAGGATTTCAGAATTRTCAATAGGAATTTACTTGAGTAATTAATGCTATTTGCATTTGTATCTGGGTTTGCTGAGCTGTGAAATTAAGTTCTCAAAGATCAGAAAAGTGAGAATTTAGGACCAGAACACCGCTTTTGGGAAGCAGCTTTCAGTGTGGTTTAAAGCTCTGTGAAGTCACGGCTGGCTGGGTGTGTGGTTTGCATCCAGGGRCTCCGGGAGGGAAGCTCCGGCTCAGACAGGTTTTATTTTGAATTTACGGGACAATAGTTGTGCCAGTTCTGCCGGCTGGGCTGGGTGGGTGAGAGCTCTTAGAGCGAGCAAGGGCCGTGACAGAACCGGGGGGTTCAACCCCCAAATTGTGACGGTGCGGCCTCCACTCACCCCTGCGCACTTGAGAGGGGGGCTTGGGGAGAGCCGAGCTCTCAGGACCCCGTTTGGGGGTTTCTTTCCCCCGTGGTTGTTCCCGAGCCACTTCGGGATGCTCAGCCTGGACTTGCTTTAAGCGTTTGAAAGGCTGGAGAACGCGGAGATCCGCGGAGCCGCGGATGCGATCGGGCTGTTCGCTGGGACACCCCGGGCTCCAGAGAGAGGTGCGGGGGGCTTTGTGTGCCCCTCGGGCCGCCCAGGTGGGGCATTGCATAACGCTTTACATAACCGAGCAGAGCGGCCCGGCCCCCCCGCACCTGCCCGGGGCCGCCCCCGGGTCCCGCCGGCGCCGGAGGGGGCGGGAGCGCCGGAACCGGCAAAACCCAGCCCCGGGCCCGTGCCCAGGAACCGGCTGCGAGAGGGCTCCAGAGGGCTGGAGAGGGCTCCGAGAGCGCTCCGAGACGGCTCCGCGGCCGGCCCGACCCCCGGGATGTCCTCGGGCAAGGCGGCGGGGGAGCGGCGCTGGGAGCTGGTGCGCTGGTGAGTGCGCGGCGCCGGGGCTCGGTTTTACCGGGAGCGGGGACCGGGCAGGGCACGGCTTGAGAGGGGCTCTGGGCTTTGGTGTGGGGTGTTCCCAGACCGGACAGGGGCATAGCCCGGGCTGGGGGCGCTCGGTAGGGCCGGGGGGACACGGACACTGCGGGGCGCTCCCCGGGGCGGCTCCGAGCGGTCCCGGCTCTAGCGGGGTTCGGGCGAGGGGCTCCGGCCGGGGGAGATGAGGGGATGCGGGAAGGGGGTGCGGGAAGGGGATGCGGGAAAGGGGTGCGGGAAGGGGATGCGGGGAGGGGGCGGCTGCACCAGCCGGGGGACATGAGGGGGTGCGGGAAGGGGGCGGCTCCGTACCGGAACGGGGCTCGCCGGCATTCGGGATCCGGCAGAGGCAGAAGAGTCGGAAAGACTTCCTGCGCTTGGGAAAGGGTCCTGCCCACTTTGGAGGAAGCGTGGGAGCGGCAGCGTGCCGGGGATGCCGGGGTCCCCCCGCTCCGGGAGCAGTCCCCGGGCACGCGTGGGCTGCTGAGGCTGCACTGTCGGTGCCCGGAGCAGCCGGGACGAGCTGACATTGGGAACAAGCTCTTTCTGTATTCTTTTGTGTTGAATTGTGCAGTTGGTGACGTCCGAAGCTTGTGACTTTTGAGCAGGGCGCTGCGGCGATGGCAGGCTGTGGCTGGATGGCTCCGTGGGGATGCTGATGGCAGCGCTGGGATGGAGCCCCGGGCMGGGCTGGGTGCCAGAGCCCCCGCTGGGGGTGGGAGCCCCACAAATCCCGGCAAGCAGGCACAGTGGGAGTCACTGAAGTTCTTTTTTCCCCTCTCCCTCCCTTTTTCCACCCAAGGACACTTTTTTCCCTCACACACTTAGACCCGAACTGTTAGAGCAGCTCTTGGCCTGGCTGTTCTGTGTCCCCATTGCCTCACCCYCCCTTCCCAAGGGACACCGTGGCCTCCCTGCTCTGCTCTGTGCAGGGTTATTGTGTGCCAGAGCTGCAGGGAGCGTTGGGATTACACCATGCTTGGATGCTTTTAACCAGAAATTTGTCAGGTCACTGTGTGCTGGGGATGCTTAGGGAGCGTTTCAGGTTTGCTTCAGCTGCTGCAGGAAGCCACAGTGACTGTCCCCAGCTCYGCAGGGCCGGGCTGGGCTCAGTGGGGACAGTGACAGGAGCTGAGCAGCAGCGAGCAGGGAGCTCATGGCACTGTGGTGCATCCTCCTGGTGCCATCCAGACAGCCTGGCCACATCCCTGCAGTTCATGTTGGGAATGAACCTCCGGGAGCATCCYTGTGCAGAGGAAGGGACGTGAGCTCTGCCCAGCGCTGGCTGAGGTTCAGGGATGCTGCAGCTCCGTGTGTGTGTCTCCAACCAGTCCTACAGGGCCTTTAACTTATTCATCACTTGCTGATGAAATTCATGTTCAGAGGAGTGTGTGAAGTGCAGCTGGGTGCTGGGATCGAGGCAGCAGCAGGATTTTGTTCCAAAGAGTGGAACAGCTGCAGTTACCAGAGTTTTGCTCACTTAACAGGGAACCCATACTCCTCTAATCAAATTCATAACCCTCAATTCACTTGAATATTACTTRATAAGCCTCAACATCTGGCCTAGCATTTGCAATGATGCTGGAAAGGCATTAGCTTGGCCTTGGAGCCAGCGATAGCCTTGGGACAGGGTTGGTATGGGGTGGGTGGGTGTTGGGATGTGCTGCTGAGCAGKGGGTGCTGMATYTCTGTCCCCRGGGCTCCMCAGGGGARTGTCCTGKGCTGCTTTGGAAATGTTTGCTCTGYTCTGMCCGTGGTGCTCAYGGGTGCCTGTGGGTCTGCTCTGRGGRTCCTGTRGGGGTGAGGGGCTTACAGGGGTTGCAGCGGCCCCACAGGAACCCACCTGGGGGTGCAGGGACCCCTCCCGGGGTCACTCTCCAGGGATGTCCCATTCCAGATGTGACCMTGTGCCCATGGGCCCATCAGCTGTGGGCACTGAGGGATGGGGAAGCACAGGGATGCAGACAGATGGGCTGTAAGGTGATTTTCTSTCCCCTGAAGAACGTGGTGCTGTAGGATGTGCAGCTGTGAGCTGAGGCAGCCGCTCCCCGCRTCCTGCGCTCCCTCCCCCGATCCAGCCCTGATGAATATTTCAGTCTCTCTCGCTGTTATTTTTAGGTACGTGCGAGAAGGCCGCTTTCGCATCGAGGAGAGGACGCTGACKGCTTTCCAGTGGCTCTACTCGCCCCAGCAGCACCGCATCGTCAGCCGGGCAGACCTGGGCTCGCCCAGCAGGTGAGGGGCTCATGGGGCAGGGCTGGGGCTGAGGGGGCACTGCCACATCCCCTGCTGCTCATTGTCACCAGCCCTGGTGGTTTGGGGACAGCCCTCCCGAGCCCCAGCCTGTTCTGTGACACACGAACATCCTGAGCTTTGCTTTGCAGTGAGTTCCAGGTGCAGCAGGAGCTGCCGGCACCATGGAAGTGCTGCTCAGTTTGAAGCAGTGCAAAGRGCACATTTCTGCCTTCCTTGTGACCCACTCCGTGCTTTTGGTTGAGGATCTGCTTTATGTGTGCAGCACRCTTGAGATTTACTTAAAAAACAGATTTGAGCCAGGGGCTGTGTTCCCCCCAGACATCAGCGATCATTGGAAAATATCTGTTCTGATCCCMCAATTTTGTTTGGTGCTCAAACTCTCCCGTTGGGAGCCACATCCCAGCCCGTGCCGCGGCTCTCCCTGCTGATGCATATGCATGGCTGTCAGCTCCCGCCCGTGTTTGATGAGAAAACACATTTTATTAACATAAAAGCCTTGTGGGCCTCCAGASGCACAGGGCGCTGCCTCTGCTCTCTGGCCTGCAAAGAGATCTGGAACGTGCCTGCTCCCTGAGTGGCGGTGACACTGAAAGCTTTTCCCTCTCCATCTCAGCAGCAGTTTGCTCCAAGAGCCCTCAAAGCCCTGCAGGTTTTATCTGCCTGGAATTGCATGGACAAGGACATGGGAGGGTGGCTGCAGGGAGAGGGRATGCCCAGAAGGATTTCCCAGGACATTTTCCATGAGTACTCTTCATGCAGGGCGAGCGGGGTGGGGATGGAGGGAGGTGACATTCTTACCTGGAAAAAGCTTCTAGGAGCGTGAGGGAGCTGCCAGCAGCAGCCATGGCTCACACCCCATTGCTGCCATTTGCTTCCCACCATGGGAATTCCTCTGCCTGTTGCTGGAGAGGCTTTCCAGAAACTGCAGTGGCTGTGCTGTTTATTGATTTTAACTAATTTTTGCAAATTGCTTTCAGAGCTTGTGTTAGCCTCACCCCTGATGCATGTTTCATTTAGCACATGCAACTGAAATGTGTGTAGCATTATTTATAATTAATGTTAAGTGCTGTTTGGGTTAATTTCACTAGATTTGATTTCCCGAAGGGGTTAATTTCACTGGATTCCTTTGATTTCCCAGAGGGAAAGTTGCCTGGGAGTTTTCCCCTGGGAAGTTATCTGGAGAGTCTGTGGGACACCAGTTATGAGCGGTGTCTGTCCTGTGCCCCGCAGCCCCGGTGCCTGTGTGTGCTGCGGGATCCTGGGACCGCCCCGCTCTGCTCCCACTCCATCCCGC